ATCCTATGTCATTAAAGCTAGATGGAGTCACTGGGGAGGTGGGTGTGGGGTTGGGTGGACTCTGAGGGATGGCGGAGGACAGGAGAACCTGGAGGAATATTGTCCATGGGGTTGTGATCCGTCGGGCACTACTTTGAGACTAACAACAACAACAAATATCATTAAATCCTTGAAATAGAGGGCAGCCTTAACCTGGTGCCAAAAAGACAATGATGTTGGAGCCAAGTAGGCCTCTGTGGAGAGATCATCCCAGAATTGGAAGGATACATTGAGAAGGGCCTTTTCCTTGTTGCCTCATTCCAGGCCTCTCTTGGAGGTTGTAGTTGAGCCTCAGGTGTAGATCATAATGCCTGAATACACTGAGGTTGCGAGAGGCATTCTGTCTGGTACTGTGGTTTCAAACCATGCAGGCTTTTATAGATTAAGAAGTAGCACCTTGAATTGGGCTCAGACATAGGCAGCTAACACAGGCAGGTCAGAATTGGTGTTCTACTTTTGGACCTTCTGGTCCTAGATGATAACTAGGTTGCCACATTTTGCACAAGCAGCAGCTTCTGACAGCCTCCAAAGGCAGTCATACGTATTTACTCCAGCTGAAAATATACTTTAAAAAATAGTTTGCACCCTGCATTGAGGTATCCAATTATTTTTTAGTTATAGTCGAAAATGAACTGTTAAAAATAATTCTAATATCTTCCCATTCAAATCTTCTTACTCAACTCTTAAAACATTCCTTCCTCCACAATCCATGTTACTTGGAGCAAGTAATTATGTTATGTGGAGGGCACATCTCAGATTACTGTTGATACTAACAACTGAGGAGTTCATAGCAGTTCACAGCAAGAAGTGATTCATACATGAGGAGACTCCTCACCTTTGATTCAAAGGATTCCTCCTGAGTACCTTCTTCATCTGCAAAGTTAAGGGAAGATTATTTTAAGAGAAGTTAGAATGAGCTAACTTCTATGTATATAGGCTATTAAACAGAATTAAATTATATGTAGTATTTTCCAGGGGAATTCAAACAGCAAAGCAGATGAACAAATCATGCTGTCAGCAAAAGCAGACTAGTTGCATAACTAGTCTTACACCAAGTGCCACTCAGAATTGAAGACTTTTATAGATATTGCATTACTTATCCAAGTCTCAAATCGCCACTTATTCTTGTTATACTAGTCTTTATCAACAGGTCAAGACATATAAAATGTAAGCATGTCATTTATAGGGAAGGGGAAAATTCTGTTTGGTTCACAGACCAGTGCTAGGACCAAAATAGCTACACTTCAATATTCACAGCTTTCTGAATTTTCTGATTTAGTTTTCTGGTTCAAGAATGTGCACAGAACCACTCATATTAATGAATTTTGTTACTGCTGTTGATTTTTCTTTCCTTCTACATCTCAAAAAATATTCTGAAGGACAGGAGACCTCCATAACAGTGTGGGAGATGGCAAGTAGGGATTGAAATAGGAAATTAGTAAAAGTTCCCTTGAAAGAAGGCATCCATTGGATTTCATTCTCTTCTGCTGTGAAAGTACCTTTTCTGTTGATGGAAGAAGTGCTTCTGGGACTATTCCAACACAGTGTACATTTTTAATATCGAAAGCTCAGTTCCTAATGCATCTGGTTATTACTATTCAGTACACTGACAAGTCTTAAAACAGACATGTTGCAGAGATCAAACATTAATAGCAGAATGCCCATCCCTTTCTTCCTTCCCCCATATGTTTTGCATTTATAGCTCTTCTCTTTTATTGCTCTGACACTGTTTTTAAACTGACATAATGGACCTTAAAACACCAACATCAATATGGTAAATATATATATTTCAAATTCTTGGGAGTCAGTGAGAAATTTTACAAGACAGCAAAGAAAAATGGTTTAACCAGGAACAGTATTGTGTAGGGAAGAAGAATCCTGGCAATGGAAGGCAATGAAGGAAACAAAGATAGTTGTACAGGACAGAAATACCAGGGCCATTTAGCTGAAACTTCAAAGCAAAGTTAAAATATGAAAGGAAAAGAACAAGTCATCTGACTAACTTGGGTGAAATCAGATGATAATTCTGATAAACAGAATTAACATAGCTTTAACAGCTAACTGACCTAGCTTTTGTAAAACTTTTAAGATAGCAACAAGGAACTGGCTTTATTTTACTAAGGAAAAGCAACAAACGTAACTTCCAGATATGCTTAAACATTGTGAAATAGCTCAGGAAAAACACAGAAACAGAGCGAGTCAGAAGGGGCCTCCCGGGCCATCTAGTCTGACCTCCGGCACCAGCTGGCTCCGCTCACGACATGCCCACCATGCGCATGTCCAGCCTATCCTTGAACACCCTCACCGATGGGGCCTCAACGACCTTTTGTGGAAGCTCATTCCACACCCTCGGGGTCCTAATTGTCAGGAAGTGCTTCCTGGCATCTAAACGGAACCTTAGTTCCCTGAGCTTTGTTCCGTTGGAGCACGTCCTGCCTTCTTCTGCAGGTCTCTACCCATCTCCATGTGACATCTCCTCACATACCTGTATGTCACCATATCCCCTATGAGTCTCCTCTTTTCCAGGCTGAAGAGACCCAGTTCCCTCAGTCTCGCCTCATACCCCATCCCCTACAAACCGCCCTCCAACCTTGTGGCCCTACGCTGCACTGACTCCAACCTCGCTATATCCTTTCTGTAATGAAGGGCCCAAAACCGAGCATAATACTCCAGTTGTGGGCACACCAGAGTCGTATAGAGTAGTAGTAATACCTCTCTCGCTCTAGAAGCCACACTTCTGGCTATGCAACCAAGGGTGGCATTCGCCCTCTTGACCACCGCATCACACTGCTGAATCATGTTTAGCCTGCAGTCAACCAGTACCCTGAGGTCCCTTTCACAAGTGCTGCTCTCCAGCCACTTGTCACCTAACCTGTACTTATGACACCTATTCCTATGCCCCAAGTGCAAGACCTTGCACTTATCCACATTGAACGCCATCCTGTTGTCTCCTGCCCACTTCCATAGTCTGCCCAGATCCTTTTGGATCTGGAGTACCTGCTCCTCACTTGTGGCCACTGCTCCAGTTTCAGTGTTGTCTGCGAATTTGATCAGCAGACTGTTCACCCCTTCTTCCATGTCGTTAATAAAAAGATTAAACAGGATCGGCCCCAGGACAGAGCCCTGGGGGACGCCGCTTGTCACTGGCCGCCATCCCGATGATTCCCCGCTAATGGTAACCTTCTGCTTTCGGTCAGTCAACCATGCCCTAATCCACCGGGCAGTGCTTTGGTGTATCCCAAAACTCCTCAGTTTCTCCACCAGGATATCATGGGGCACTTTGTCAAAGGCCTTGCTGAAATCCAGGAAAACCACATCCACTGCATCCCCTCCATCTAGCCATCTCGAAACCTTGTCATGGAATTCCACAAGGTTTGTCTGGCAGGACCTGTTTTTGCGGAAGCCGTGTTGTGGGGCTGCCAGCCTTCCTTCCCTATCTAGCATCACTAGATCTTTCTTTATTATGAGCCTTTTCACTGTTTTTCCTACAATGGATGTAAGGCTAACAGGTCTGTAATTCCCCATGTCCTTTCTACTACCCTTTTTGAAAATTGGGACCACTGATGCCACCCTCCAGTCCTCTGGAACTTCACCTGTTCTCCACGAGGCCTCAAAAATGGAGGCCAGCGAGCATGAGAGAGCCCCTGCCAACTCTCTAAGTACTCTTGGGTGTAACCCGTCAGGGCCTGGCGCCTTTGTAATGTCCAATGCCCTGAGGAGCCCCTTGACTTTTAGGGGGGTGACTCTAATCTGTGCTCCTAAAACATTAGACTACACTGCAGCAGATGATGCAGACAAAAAAGATGAAAGTGTTTATCCTGATTTATCCTTTTCCTACATAGATACTTCTATGCTGATTTGAAATCTGATTAAAAGGTCGATTTTTCATTCAATTATGAAACTGAGGTGATAGCTATTAGGATATCACAGTGAAGTTCTGGTTTTGAGAAAATGCATAAAATAAGACTAGGATCAGATCACAAAATTAGGTATCAAACTGCACCTTAGTAAATTAGCATTGTGCTTTCCAAGAGTAATATAAAAATGTGTGGGAAACATTTAACCTGGTCACACTGAATTATCAGCACCAATGAACGTATTTTTGTTTGTAATCTTTATACTCAAGCATGCAGTGTGTTTCAGTCTCATTGCATCATATTAACAATCTCTCTGAAGTAACACGCTCTATATTAGGTTGCAGTCAAACACACTCTTGATTGTCAGCAAATAAATGTTTGTTCCAAAGCAAAGTGTCAAAGGGGAAAACATGCTGAGCTTGTGCAGCTGCTTTTAGTATTTATACAACTCCCCTTTAAGTCAAGAACTGGTCTATAAAATAATATCACTGGAGAAGGTAAAATTTACTCCTTTATCATCCCTAAAACAAATCTACAAAATAGAAAAACATGTCTACTACCCCCACAAAGAAAATTAATTTTAAAGTATTATGAGATACCCTGGAGTTATAAATATTAATTTAAGGCTACCGAAAGCTTGCTCTGTTCATATATCTAAACAAAGAGACGTGTTATTTACAGGTTCCCAAGAGAAAAAAATCTCAACAATTACTAACTATAGTCAGGACTGGTTTCCTGAATTGTTTTTCCAAGATGAAAACCCAGCTTGGCAAAAGAGGACTCAAGCTAGTTGTGAATAACTGAGAAAGAGCTCTTGGGGTTCTGGTGGACCATTTGAGGAAAACAGTGACCCAGTGTGCAGCTGCTATGAAAAAGGCAAATACCTTGTTAGGCACAGTTTAAAAAAAGAATTGAAAATGAAACTACCAATATCATACTGTGCTTATAAATAACTATGGCACGGCTGTACCTAAAATACAGTGACAGTTCTGGTCATCACACCTAAAAAATGATTTTGTACAGTGTTGAAAAAGGCAGCTGAAATGACCAAGGAGCTGCAACATCAATTACCCTATAAGGAAACAGCTGAGGTTGCTTAGCTTAGAAAAAGGGTAAGGGGAGAAATAATTACAGGAGTCAGTATTATCACCGATTATTCCAAACACAGCCACTCGAAAGTATTCCAGTGACAGGAAGATTGTAAACAGTTCTGCAGTGAACACAGATGATTCAGTTGGGAATTTTTGTGCTACAGGCAAGTGCCTATGGATAAGTGCTGCTACTACAGGTCTCATATCTTGGAACCATCAATACAAATCACTGCAGCACCTAATCGCTGTTCAGCAGCAGTCAATTCAGCCTTTGAGAACTGGGCAAGTAGCCTCTTGGTCAGAGAGGACAGTGAAATGGTACTGAAACAGTATTATCACATAATTGCTTGAACTGCTGCAGAAGTAGGTAAAGTCTAAGCTTTGTCGTAAAAGTTTGACCAAAAGAAAGTAAAAGCCATGGTAAAAGCCATGGTATAACAGTGCACTGTAAAGAGCTATGCATGATACAAATTCAGCAGTGGCTACAATGATTCAGAATAATGATGCTATAATTACAACTACTGAATCAATGGTTACAATGACTGGGAATACAGAATTCAGACACTATGCCTCTTAGAGCTGGTGAACAGAAGTGCCTTCCAATGTCTTTACTAACTAGCAAAATCTCTTTGGAATATCTAAAACTAATCTGAGTCTTCTTTTTAGCTGTACGTACCTGTTCTATATATAGTTTGTGACTTAACTTATGGATCAGAAAATTTGAGGTTGGCAGCAAAAATGTACATGTTGGTCTGTCCTGTCAAGTCATGAATGCTCTCCAAAATTTCCTGCCCTTGACAATCCTGCTCAGTTCTTGAATATTCAAGATGATGGCTTCCTTTAGGGAATCCATCTCATATTTGGTCTCCCTCTTCTTCTGCCTTGGACATTCCCTGTTATTATTGTCTTTTCCAGTAAGTCTTTTTGTAATGTGTCTGAAGTATGACAGCCTCAGTTTTGTCATGGTTGCTTCCAAAATCTATATATACAAATCCTTAAATTTAAATGTGATGCTTTCTTAGGGAATGACAGTATTAAAAAATCCTGAATATGACATTTTAAAACTGTTCAATATGGAACATATGAAAAAAGATCCTTTTACCAAAATTTGCTGCCATTTATCAACCAAAGCCTTGGCATGCATTATAACGCATGTGCCAGAGGACTTGAAGATTACATATAAATGTTAGATTTCAGAAATATGTGTTTTAGTAGTATGGTTATCTGTAAGGATAGAAACCGCATGATGAATTCTGAAGCATCACTCACAACAACTAGCATCCTTGATTCATTCACGTCTTTGACTTCACAGAGCAGGTAATTCTAAAAATACATCTGGGAAAAGTGCAGATGGCTAGTAAGATTGAATAAACAACTAATCATGTGATAAGGATATCACAACAAATATGTGATAAGGATAAGCAGCCAATGACCTTCTCTGGTTAGCTGTTGTACTAGGAAAGCTGCTTGCAGGGTCAGGGACATACCACCACATGGGGGACACAATTTGATTCTGCAACTTGTCACTGACATTTATCCCAGGCTGTTCAGAGCACCAATTTACCAATGATTTCACAATGCTTGTGCTTTCACCAAAAGAACACACCAACCTTGCTGTCCACCAAGGACTTTCTTTTTAAGAGTAAGCATGAGCCTACTAAGTTAAACAAATGAAGTTCAAGGCTGTGGCTTCCTTTAGAGAGTCAATCCATCATATGGATGAACGGGCATCTGAGTGGGATGGTGTAAAGTGGTGTCCTGGAACAGCAGGGGGTTGGACTCAATGGCCTTCATGGCCCCTTCCAACTCTATTATTCTATGATTATATCTATTTGGTCCCCCTTTAATTCTTCTGCCTTCAGAGACTACGTAAGTTCTCTTTGGTCAGATATTAACTATGAAGCTAAAACAAGTTCTGCAAATCTTCATTTTCTCAGGAAATTATCGGAGCTGATATACTAAATTAAGTAGCAATGTATATTCAGATATTTATTATAAATGTATTGAGTTTATTTTTGAAAGTTTTAAAATGTGATATTTTAGTGAACAAATCAAGTTATACATAATATGACCACAAAGGCTGCTTTATGTTCTCAAAAGCAGCCCTCCCAACCTGATTTCCTTCTGAATTTGGTCCACTATGTCCAGCATTCCTGACCATTAACCATGCTGCCTGAGGCTGATGGGAACTGAAATCCCAAACATCTGGAAGCTCAAGTTTAGGCAAGGTCATTCTAAAGCAACAAGGTGACTTTAGATAGATAAGGAAAACCAAAATCAGTACTGTTATTTTTCAATTCTCCCCCACCCCCACTAAATTTGTTCCCCCCCCCCCAGAAAAAAATGTTTTCCCCCAAGGCTTCATAATTGTGCTGATCTGGGTTTATTCACAGATAAGTATGCATAGAACTGCAGCCTAAAACAGCAAACCAGCTCTCTGTTACAGTACACAGAAGCCTTTCATATATACATTGGAACCATTGGACATATGGAAGAAGAGCAGGCCTATTATCACTCCATTGACTCTGATCTTGTATATTAACCTATTTGCATTCATCTTGCCTTAATCCTAGATTAGCTAATATACAGATTATAAATCTGGTTTACCTAGAATTCAGATTAAGTATGCATGGGATGAATTCTAAAAATGTATTTTAATAAATTTTAATCATATGGCTGTGCTTTCAATATAGTACTTATCTACCTATGTCTTTTAATCAACAGTGGGCTCTGAATTCAAACTAATCAGTTAATTACCTCAAAACACTGCTGAGTTAGTTATTCCATGTGCAGTCCTTTTCTAGTGCTTTCCCTCTTACCCTGATATCCTTTCTGTACAACTTACAAACTATTGCCCCTTACAAATCTGCTGAGTCTATCTATTGTACTTATCCAATTAATTCAGAGCCCTTGCTGCACCCACCCTGATACATCCAAAGCATCCAACCCCCCTGATTTGCTAATATTCCAGAGGCACCTATCTCAGTTACATAAATGTTTCTGAGAAAGAATCACTGCCCATCCTCACAGCAAAGAGGAAGCGTAGCAGTTTGCCAGCTAAGTGAAATTCCCTTATGTCAGGAAGGACAGGCTTCAAGGCCTTCTAATCTACATCAGCAGCCCAGTTCATAGACTTAGGCCTTATTAATACAAAATAGGGGAGGTACGATGACACTTACCCCTCCATTAAAGGAACAAGAAAAATTCATTATCCCAAATCAAACTCTTGGCCCACCTTGGCCCTTGTGTAGGCAACCTGGTGCCCTCCATATGTTTTGGAGTACTACACCATTAATGTCTCAGCAAGCATCCAATGTTTAGGGATTATGTGAGTTGCAGTCCAAAACATCTGGTCTATGCCCATGAGCCACAGTAACCAATAGCAGATCTCCAGGTTTTCAGACAGGAGTCTTTCCCATCTCCAGGGGGAGATACCAGGTTTGAACCTAGAACTTTCTGCATGCAAAGCTTGGGCTCTATCACAGAACTGGGGTCCTTCTCCATTTGCAATTTCCACCTGTGCACTTGGTCAAGTTTAAATGATATTGGCAGATGCAGATCCTTATACAACATTAGGATCAATGCTCAAATTAGGGAGGGCAGGGAGAAATAAAAAAGGGGGGGGAGGAGGGGCATACTCAGACTCCTGATTTGCCCTTTAGCCAAACCATGTTTCAGCAGCCTTCCAAAAACAGCAGCTGGAAAGACATCCTGCAACCTGCAGGTCGAGGACCCCTACCGTTCTAGCAAAGTCGCCCACCCCCAATGATCGTCAGCATGCCAGCTTAGCACACACAAGTCACCGAGCACATGCAGCCAGCACATTTCAGACTGATCCGACCCACATGGAAAGCCTGTGCATAAATGCGGTGGGCAGCAGCAGCGCACGGGTGACATTCCAAACACAAGTGGGGAGGGGATGCCCCAGTCAACTCTTGATCAGCAGATGCCCCGATAATATGCTGCTCGGGGTAAGACATTCAGGCGAAAGAGCAATGAGAGAGGAAAGGGGAGAAAAAAGGAAGGAAAGCAAGCAAGCCGTGACATTTAAATCACCATCCACTCGGCGTTAACTGAAAAGACGCCTAGCCCAGAGGGGGGCTCCAGGTGCGCCCGGCGGAGGACACCCATTCAGCCTCCCTCAGCACCCCGTGGCGCTCTCAACCGCCTGGTACCCCGCGCCGGCTCCCTGCAGCCTCATCGCAGGATCTCCCCTCCCAAACGGGGTCCCAGGAAGGCGGGGCCCACCAGAAGCGCCATTACTGACCCGCGACAGCCAGGGTGACACCCACTAATAACAGAGACGCCAGGGCCAGCGCCGCCGCCGCCGCCACGGCCCAGAGGAGCCTCCACCGCGGCGCGACCCGGCCGAGCAGCTCCATCACGCTCCGGATTCTTTCCCGGAAAAGCAACACGACGGACCGCGGGCCCGCTGCTGAGGGAGCCCCGAGTCCGGCTCCCTCGGCCCCGCCCACCAGCCGCTCAGCAACCAATCACACGGGCCCGCTTCGGCAGCCGCCAACGACACAGGCGCTTCCAATGGCCTCTTGACGGTGGGGAAGCCAGGATATCATTGGCCGCTACGTTCTCCGACATGGCCTCTCCGAATTGGACGAAAGATACCGATTCCAATTGCGGGTCAGCGCGTCAGCGTCTTCCTTCCGGCCAATCAGGTCACGATTGAGGGGAAGGTGAAGGCAGGCGTGTGATTTCGCTTCGCGTTCCGTACTGCATTTCGCACGATCTTTCACACCTAGAATTAATAAAGCTTTCTCATAAAAATAGAAGTCATTCGGCTAGCTTGATTTTTGCTTTTTTGTAGGTAGGGAAGCTTGGTAATTGAAGCTGTAATTATGGCAAAACACCGCAAAGAAAAGGACGCTCTATTGCTGCCTGGGTTATGGATGTCCACCCATTTTGCCCTGCATATGGAAGTTTGGACTGAGGGCAACTACGAGCCGGAAGTATATCTTTCATTAAGACTGCAGCTCTTTGCTCTTGTAGAGAACCCGCCCGCTTAAGCCAGGCAGCAAAACGGAATGACCGGAAAGACCGCAATAACCAGAACGGATTGTAGCAAGCCAGTACAGCGGAATGAGAGGGCCAATTTAGAACAGCGACCCCTGGGGACCGCAACGCGGTAATAGAGATATAGAAAGAAATAAGGTAGAGTCGTATGCCGCTGTCGCCCATAGAGATAAACGAAATGACACACCGTTTTTAGAGCAAGGACTTCCAGGTTTTTTTTGGACTGCACAAGAGCAGCCGTGCAGGATCAGACCTCAGGTCCATCTAGTTCATCGCTCCATGCACACGTGGCAAATCAGCTGCCCTCAAGATCCCCCAAGCAGGATGGGTGGAAGACCTCCTCCTGCCCAAGCTCCTCAACAACCAATGTTTGCAGGTGACAGAATCTCTGTTTTCAATTAGCGAGGAATGAACACCCAGCTTCTTGACGAAGATCAAAATGTGTGAACCTCTGCGGCTTTATTTAATCGGTGCCCCAGTTCCTGCAGTAACTAACGATAGCGTGCTCCTGGGTAGAGGCAAACTCAGCTACAAAATTACAGCTCATGTACCGACACTTATAATCTGTTAGTCACATAAAGAGTGTTAAATTTCCAGATAATGTTGGTGCAATAACATCGTGATATCTCTAGGCATGACATAATGCTCTAAAGCAATCAGAAATACTGGTAACAATAGTATGGAAAATATTACTGATTGCTTTACTGACATATCAATTCAGCAGATTCCTTGCAGTTTGGATCAGCCTCTGTGTCTGTTTAAATATGTAAATATGTCTGATTGAGGAACCATTCAGGAAAACTGGTTTGACAACTACACTGCACAGGCACTTGCCTCTGTGGAACTAGATGATTAAATGGGTCCATTCAGAAATGAATGCTTTTGTCTCAGGGGTCTGCAGCTGATGGGAACACTGGCATTTTCCTACTGATGGTATTAGTCTGTAGCAGCTTCTTAGACCAGCTAAGAATTCCACCTTCTTAAGGAAACAGCAACGCTAAACATTAACCTGACTTGGAATTCTGCAGCTTTCTGGGAAAGGGGTGCAGGTTTGATTTTATAACACAAAGGCACACATAAGCAACCTTTTCCTACCAGGATTTATTCTGGATTTCCCCAACACAGGCAGTCCACCTCTGAAAGGAGATAGCACATAGCCAGCAAAGCAAGTACCCACTGATAGCCTTCTCCCAGGTTGAAATAATACAAATGAAATCCAACATTTTAGCATATGGATGAACAGACGGCACCATGTAGTTCTTTACCTGTCTGTACACTGAATAAAAAAGTAGCAGCAAGCTAGCTAGCTAAGGTCACATGCTGAGTGGGTAATACTGTGAATTGTAGGATATTCTCCTGGCTAAACATGCCTAGGATTGCATCCTAATTCAGAATGTAATCTTATTTCACCATACACTAGTCCAACAGGTAATTGGATTATAATCAAGCTGGGCTACTTGTTCAGGCTGGAACAATCTGCATTTCCTGTTCCCAGAAGTGCCAGCTCAGTGAGTGGCGTAGTGCAGAGGCCAAACCACTCCAAAACCTTCCAACAAGCACTCATAGGGTTGTGTAACTAGTCCTAGTGCATTACCTTGGCATGCAAGGACCATCGGATCTGTGCTGTGATATAAAGTGCATGACTTCCACCATCTCTTACAGCTATCCCACCATCCATTTAGGCACATCACTCCATTAAAATACAGAATTAGAGGTGCAGAAAGATAGCTAGTCTGTTTTTAAAATGAAGCTTGTCTGCAAAACTCAGCTTTGGAAAAAGCTGCTTGTAGCAAAAGAAAGCATTAGGAGTGAAACCCACGTGGCAACACACAATTCAGCTATTTCATAGAACTGGAAAATTTTCCCAAAAGGGAAAACCAAGGCATGTAACTTTAGTTCAAGATCATTAGGCAGGGGAGAAGCTAGGTAACCCAAAAGATCCAGGGCTGGCCATAGGAGAAAACATTGCACACATTTGTATTTTCTAATTTACATATACAAGTATATATACATCAATAGAAGGAATTGTTATAATTTGTAGTATATATAGCATATATATCATGAATCATGAGAAGTTATGGATGGTCCTGAAAGTAATGGGCATGTCTGATCATTTGTTTGGCCTGATGCATAATGGACAAGAGTCTACTGTTTGGACAGAACATGAAGAAACAATGGTTTTCCATAGGCTTGAGAAGAATGTATTTTATCTCCCTGTTTGTTCAATCTGTATGCAGGAAAGCTGGATTAGAGTCAGAGGAAGGAGTGAAAACTGTAGAGAAAGATACATCACTAATTTAAGACATGCAGATGATACCATACTACTGGCAGGAAGTAGCAACGACTTGAAACAACTTCTGATAAAAGTGAAAGAAGAAAAGGCAGAAGCAGGATGGCAGCAGAACTTAAAACAAATCATGGCCACAGAAGAATGATAAAACTTTACAGTTAACAATGAAAACACTGAACTTGTGAAAGACTTCACATACTTAGGCTTGGTCATTAATTCAAAGGGAGTTTGTAGCCAAGAACTTTGAAAAAGACAGACTTTGAAGAGTAGCAATGAAGGAACTAGAAAAGATCATCAAGCATAAGGATGTTTCACTGGAGACCAAGATAATCCATGCAATTGTATTTCTGATCACTGTATTTGGCTGTGAAGGTGGGACAGTGAAGAAAGCTCACAGAAAGAAAATTGATGCATTCAAAACATGGTGCTGGTGGAGATCTTTGCGAATACTGTGGACTGTCAGAAAGATGAACAAGTAGGTCCTGGACCAAATCAAACCAGGGCTTTCCCTAAAAGCAGAAATGACAAAATTGAGGCTTTCATACTTTAGGGGCATCATAAGAAGGCAAACCTGCATGGAGAAGAAATAGTTTGGAAAGTTGAAGGTAGAAGAAGAAAAGGAAGACCAACTATGAAATGGAAACCAGAGTCTTGAACTTAGAAATGCTGAGCAGGACTGTCATAGATAGAATGTTTTGGAGGGCTTTCTTTCATGGGGTTGCCACAAGGTGGAGACAACTTGACCACAGGTAACAGCAACAAGAATAAAGTTTATAGAAGACAAGCAATTAACTTAATTGCTTTGAGGACAGAGCTGTATGATGTCTCAAATTGTGCCCACTTAATATTTGTCCTCCATGAAACCACACTTTTCTTTGGTCTTTCAGGCCAAAGGCCAGATATGGAGGATGGAGTGCCTGGGACCAGCAAAGACCTATTCAAATATTTACCTGTTCCTTGCAAACTGAACATGGCATAGTTGCAAGGGAGAGTGTGGGAATGTATGGAAAACTAGAATAACCCATGCTTTAAGGCTGTAAACTTACACTATTAATACGGCAACTCCTATTACATAATGTGGAATTTATAGATGTGTAAATCTTCTCTTGAACTCCCACCCACCTCCCTGCCCCGAAAGCACAGCAGCACTGGACAGAGACCTTGGCTCTGGAAGATACTGTTTCCTTTGCTTCTGATTCCTGGACCCAGCAAGGAGGTAGACAGAGCAGCTGCCTAAGGTGGGTTTTCATTTCATTTTGATGCTTTGTTTTGATAGTTTCTGCAATTCTTGAACACTTTCCCCTTTTTTCTCTTCTTAGGTTCCAATTTCTAGAAATCCTAAAACAGTAACATTGCAATATCACTTTTCTAAGAAATATGTTATCATATAGCTGTTAAACTACCAAAATATATAGTTGGATACCTTATTAAGACCAACCAATATTGATAATAAAGATATTGCCTGACTATGTATTTCGAGTTTCTGTTTCTTATGGACCAATATGGCTACCTTTGTATTTGATCATTCTTTACATTGTCAGAGGTCTTGATCCCCGCTTTCTCTCTGTGTTCCTCTCATCAGGCTCCAGCCAGCATGATCAATGGTCAGAAATGACAGAAATTGTAGCCCAACAACTTGTAGGGGTCCACTACTTCCTTATTCTTGTGGTGTGACACTCCCATACAAGAAGAATTAAAACTGGAAATAGCTTTTTCCAAATGCACTTAAGTTTTTGGAGAGAAATGGTGGGTAAAGCCTAGATATACAAGTAGATGCATTTCTTTCTTATGAACACAAGGAGATTGAAATGCAGTTGTAAATACACTTTCTTCCATGGCCACTCATGTATTACAAACCTGATGCAAAGGGATTGGAATTGAACTTCTGTCTTGCACACCAGCATAGCAACAGCTGAAGAAATGCTCAAAAAAGTGCTTTAAAGGCAAAATCCCTTAGAAAGGAAAAAAAAAAAAAAACCCTTACAGCTTCTAGATTGCCTGGGATGAATTGCCCAACCAGCCAGTAAAGCAACAGGGGTAGTTTGGTTGTCAAAGGAAGAGTGTACTGGGAGCCTGTTGGGAAGGTTATTTGGTTGGGGTAGTACTGAGCTTCCAATGTAGCTTTTAACCTCATTACTTTGATTTTCTTTGCAGGAT